GAATTGTGTTTAATGGTTTACTTGTCCACATTTAGTATCCAGAAGTAAACCATTAAATACAATTCAACATTAAATATCCAGAAGTAAACCATTAAACACAAGTCCACATTAAGTATCCAGAAGTAAACCATTAAACACAATTCAACATTAAGTATCCAGAAGTAAACCATTAAACACAATTCAACATTAAGTATCCAGAAGTAAACCATTAAACACAATTGAACATTAAGTATCCAGTTGTGTTTAATGGTTTACTTCTGGATATTTAATGTTGTGTGTGCGCGTTGTATGTGGTCTTAAATTGATGTTAGATACCAAAGTAGCTAAACAGATTTCAACCTCAACTCTTGTGGCCTGAGTTATCAAAATTACCTCTAAACATGTGTTTGCGAGGAAATATTTCTGAGATTTAGAGTTTTTACAAGTGAAGCTGGGTGTAGCAAAAAATATACAATGGACAAAATAACAATGTGAAATATTAAACACAAGTCCACATTAAGTATCCAGAAGTAAACCATTAAACACAAGTCCACATTAAGTATCCAGAAGTAAACCATTAAACACAATTCAACATTAAGTATCCAGAAGTAAACCATTAAACACAAACATAATTCTATATGTTTATATGTACATCTATTTATTGGTTCATTGATCTACACACAATTATATATGTTTATATCTACATCTATTTATTGGTTCACTGATCTATACACAAATATATATGTTTATATGTATATCTATTTATTGGTTCATTGATCTTCTTCCACTTTCTACTTTCTTATATTTCCATTTTAACTCTCATTCCATGTAGATTTCGTCCGTTTTATTGGAGAGTTCGGATCTATGATAGCATCGTTTGAAGATATCTGTTTGAAGTTAATATTATCCCAGTTGATTCGTCTCCTAGCTACGTAAACCTACTGTTTCACGTGAGATTTTTCAGTTTGTGAAGAAACCCAACTTTTCACGGTTTGAGCAACAAGAAGGAGGAAGAGAAACAGGAACAGTCACGGTGTGTGACGTCACAACTTCGAATAATGACGAAATAATAAATGTACAGTTTTTCAAGACAAACGAGAGGTTGCTATGCGTACTGGAATAATAGGAACAAACATTGAGAGGTTGCTATGCGTACTGGAATAATAGGAACACCCATTGAGAGGTTGCTATGCGTACTGGAATAATAGGAACACCCATTGAGAGGTTGCTATGCGTACTGGAATAATAGGAACACCCATTGAGAGGTTGCTATGCGTACTGGAATAATAGGAACACCCATTGAGAGGTTGCTATGCGTACTGGAATAATAGGAACACCCATTGTTCAATTTTTGTTTTCTTCTTCTATCGGTTTCGGTCCGTACTTGAATTATAGAATTGTTTAATAGGATTAAATTAATTCTTTCATTAATTATATGAAACATTGCGCAATTCCTTTGAATAATTATTTAGCAATTAAAAACATACGTTTTTTATTTTAAAATAGATAATTTAATTAACGTGAATCGTACCAACAACACGCACATACACACACACATATATATACACAAAAAATTAGCAATACGGTTAAGATAGTGTAAGAAGATTCGTCCGTTGTAAATTTGCTAGTCAAAGATTTTGAGATATTGGATTCTGGTTGCAGTCTCATCATGGGTGTGCATTCAGTTCCGGTCATAACGAGTATTATTTTATTCGGGTTATTTGTACTCTCGTGTCTGACCATCGAAGCGGTCAGCTTAGCTAAAGATCAAGGTTCGAAACCTAACATTACCATAGGGTTCTTAGCTACATTTACGGGAGACGGCATCGGAAAACTCATTGCTGGAGCCATAACCGTAGCTGTCATGAACGTAAACAAAAGACCAGATTTGCTTCCCAACCACGCTCTACAGTTTATACCTGCGGATGCCGGTGAGCGAGGAACGTCCGTGGCTATCAAAAAAATGACTCGGATGCGCGATGATGGTGCTGTGGCCTTCATTGGACCTGATGAAAGTTGTGTTTCCGAAGCCCTGGTCGCAGCAGCCTGGAACTACCCTATGATCACATATGTAAGTAACTTTTCATTAATTATCAGTTAAAGTGTGGCTAGCTGTGTCATGAAATCTGTGTAAAATATTGTTAGACGATTTTATAATAGCAAGTGTTCGTGACTGACTGACCCCCCCCCCCCCAGCTTTTACCTATGTTTAGTAGTTCAAATTTAGGAACTACTTAAGCCCCAAGGAACTCCTTTTACTTTTACTTCAAACTTTTTGTCAGTAGCTACAGAAGGGGCCAACTGCACATAGCCGCCTCTAACTTTGAACTGACAGACTAGTCGATAGCACCAACCGCAAACTCTTGAGCTACCCTTACCTGATCGACTGATGGCATTTCACTGTCACTCTTACAGCGCATTTTTCCCCCAAAGAATATAGTGCTTTGTGTTCACGCCCGATTCTAGGAATTTCTAAACTGGTTGTTTAGCTCATGTATTGTTTCGTAGGGTCAAAGGTTAGTAATAATAATACCAATACCTTTAGGTTATTGATATATTCCTTTAGTTTCGAAATTAATTGATCAAAATTATCAGATCTTGCCTGAACTTAATAATTCTTAACGTTTCATATATTCCAGGAAAATTAATTTTATTTTGAATTTACTTCAAAGAATGTTTCGACATTATCTACGTCAAAATCAATTTTTCTCTTTAGCCGATCAGTTTTGAAGATGTTAGTAGCAAAATACAATTAAGTTTCGTAGACGTGCGACTTTTAAAACAGTTCATTGGTTGATTAATATTCTATGTTTAGAAACCAATATATTTGACTACCGAAGATCGGTAAACGTACAGCGACGTTTTGTTTCTGAAGTTACATTTATGGTGTCTCATTTTTCTCAAAAGCAACATTAATTACGTTAAAACATTGGAGTTAAAGGAATTGTGAGGTAACTAAATTAGCCGAATAAATGAAATCACAACGGAGATTCCCAGAATTCCTCTGAGAATGGAAGGTATGGCATTAATATAATGTGTTTAACTCTAAAGGCACAGGTATAGATGACATTTTACATTCTGGGATTACATATTGCAATTAGCATTGGTTTGTGTTTATACATTTAATCTCTATCAATAAGCAGTTGACTTGTATCATTTACATCCAATGCTTGAAAAAAATAACAACATATTACTGTTGCAACTTTACACTGAATTATAATTCAGAAACGTTTAAAAATAATTATAAATACAAATTATTAAGACTGGATTTTGTATGTTATTTTATCTATAAGATTAATACTTGTTAGGACAGGACAGTAAGATGTTTTCTTTCACTTACTTCGTCGAGATTACATTAAAAATATTTGATCTTATTTGTTTGTTTCATTCTTGAAATAATAACATTGTTAGGACTAGAATCCTTCAATAATATTACTTTTAGGACTAGAACCATACAATAATTATACTGTTAGGACTAGAATCCTTCAATAATATTACTTTTAGGACTAGAACCGTTCAATAATTATACTGTTAGGACTAGAATCCTTCAATAATATTACTATTAGGACTAGAACCATACAATAATTATACTGTTAGGACTAGAATCCTTCAATAATATTACTATTAGGACTAGAACCATACAATAATTATACTGTTAGGATTAGAATCCTTCAATAATATTACTTTTAGGACTAGAACCATTCAATAATATACTTTTAGGATTAGAAGCCTTCAATAATTATACTGTTACGATTAGAATCCTTCAATAATATTACTTTTAGGACTAGAACCATTCAATAATTATACTGTTAGGACTAAAATCCATCAATAATATTACTATTAGGACTAGAACTATTCTATAATACTACTCTTAGAACTGGAACTCTTCAATAATACTACTGTTAGAACTAAAACCCTTCAATAATACTACTGTTAGAACTAAAACCCTTCAATAATACTACTGTTAGATCTAGAACCATTCAATAATACTACTGTTAGAACTAAAACCCTTCAATAATACTACTGTTAGAACTAGAACTCTTCAATAGTATTACTGTTAGGACTAGAACTCTTCAAAAGTATTACTGTTAGAACTAAAAACCCTTGAATAATTCTACTGTTAGAACTAGAACTATTCAATAATACCACTGTTAGGAGTAGAACTTTTCAATAATACTACTGTTATAACTAAAAACCCTTCAATAATATTACTGTTAGAAATAAAACCCTTGAATAATTCTACTGTTAGAACTAAAAACCCTTGAATAATTCTACTGTTAAAACTAAAAACCCTTGAATAATTCTACTGTTAGAACTAGAACTCTTCAATAGTATTACTGTTAGGACTAGAACTCCTCAATAGTATTACTGTTAGAACTAAAAATCCTTGAATAATATTACTCTTAGGACTAGAACTCTTCATTAAACCAATGTTAGTTTATTGCAAAACAGGTCACAAATAAGATTAAATCAAGTAACGAATATGGATAGTTTAGTACACTGTTCTTACTTAAAATAGTTAAATGTGTCATCAATTGGGTTCTTTTTCTGTTAACGACACTTTCGGCCATAATCCCAAAAGTAAGTGAAAAGATTTGGTTAAGTTAGAAAATTTAAGTTAGTCTTAAGTTCATGTATTAAGCTAATAATGGATCATAAAATTAACCATAAATACATATATAACAATAATAAATTAAAAAGAATAAAATGATTATTTCAGTTGTTCTAGCCAATTCATAGAACTACAATAGCATTAATTAAGGAGTAGAGATGATCTACTGACCAAATACGTAAACACGAGTGGTTTGACTTATGCATTACCGCTGCTTTCATATTCTTTCCAGAACATGGCATCGGTATAGGTTTGATATAATCATTTATAACAACGTCTTGTCACCAATGAAAGCCCAATAAACGGTTTCAGAGATAAATGTATGTTAAAACAAGCATTTATACCAATAATCTGATATGTCTCCTATGGTTTGGTATTAAGTAAAAGGTATCATTGGCAGCTCTTTACGAAAAACAAATGCTAGTGTATACTCTCCTAGTTAAAAACTCATTCTGGGCAACAAATGCTAGTGTATACTCTCCTAGTTAAAAACTCATTCTGGGCAGCTATTTACGAAAAACAAATGCTATTGTATACTCTCCTAGGTAAAATCTCATTCTGGGCAGCTCTTTACGAAAAACAAATGCTAGTGTATACTCTCCTAGTTAAAAACTCATTCTGGGCAACAAATGCTAAGTGTATACTCTCCTAGTTAAAAACTCATTCTGGGCAGCTAGTTTACGAAAACAATGCTATTGTATACTCTCCTAGGTAAAATCTCATTCTGGGCAGCTCTTTACGAAAACAATGCTAGTGT